TTCCGCGATGGTACTGGGAAAAAGTTTCGAATTTCATTGCTGTGAATGTATTGAAATACAATTCTTGTCACTAATCGATACATCTGTGGACACTCAATTTTTGTGCAAATTCATGCAGTTTTTTTAATGTCTTCCAGAAATAAGGTGCCACCGCCGCGATGGACATCTTTGCAGAAAATCTGTCATTCCTATGAAAGAAAAAGAAAAACACGGTAAATATTGAATCTATGCAGGACATCGAATAAATCGCACCTTTGACAAAGTATTTTAATAACTGATCTGCGTTCAATTTATGAATGAAAAACTACTTTTTCAAAGACATGCAAGCGAAAAAAGTTTTATACATCCAATAAAACTAATTTTGATGAACTCTAAAGAGAATATTATATAGTTGTTAACAAAATAAATAAGTTTTTTAATAAAAGCGACACTAAAATTTAAAGTCTTTGACTACACCAAATGCTGATCAACACTAATAGTAAGTGTGAACGTAGCCAAGTTCTCACAAGTCAAGAAACTCTAGATCCATCAGTCCAGGGATGCAGAATCTGCCGAAGCTTTCGCCCATCACACAGAAAAGCTGAAAACCTCCACAGCTTTCGAAAACATATGAGCCAGAGAATCCTTTTTTTAAATGTATTCCAAGAGAGAAATAATTCTGTCCTTTCGTCGATTTATGAGCTTTTATTCAATAAATAAGACGGAACTACAAAAAGATCAGTGTTGTTACTGTTCATTGTATTCAGTCGTAGAGATAGTCCGATGGTGATTGTAATTTTGCTACTTCTTCACTTTTCAGTCGACTGATAACCAACGAATTGGACCTTATCAGTCTTCACCACTGACACTGTTCAAATTTCTTGTGAAAGTATTAATGTTTATCTTTCGTTTTCAAGTGATTGAAGCAAATACCTAGTGATTGTTCTAGATATTGTTGTGATTTATGAATGGATGGTGCGTTGATACGAATTTGTATTTCATCGTCAAGTGTTTCGTGGTTTAATGAGCGATTGCGGCCAAGATGAATTTTCATGATAAAAGCCACCGTTTCACACATGATTTCGTTCGTGATTTTGAGGATCATCATGGAGTAAAAATAGAGTAGTTCAGTAATGCTATCCGATAATTCTGTTGAAGTAAAGAAGGTCTTCATCACTTGTGTGATCAAATTGCCCTTGTTTGTGCCATAATTGCAACATTTTTCTATCGACAGATTGCATTATGAATCTCTCCTTCCAGATACTATAATGGTTTTTGACTCGACTCAAAATCGATATCGCTATTCGACAAACCTTGTATCGTTGTGAATTCAATCAATGTATCCAATACAGCATTACCATACTCTGAGAGAGATTCAACGCAGCTACAAGCAGTAACGTACATTTCTTTCGGATCTGGGCATTTTCTCATTGACAAAATGATTGCCGGCTTCTTGCCGAATCCTTCGTTGGCCATACAAATCAGCTCGTTCTTGACTTGAACACAAATTGTTCAAGACCTTTGTAATGCAGTCTGGCCTCCGACTGCGATTTTTTAAAAATATAGGAATCCTTATAGGATCGAGTTTGTCTAAAATATAGGATTTTCGATAAAAAGTGACAAAAATATAGGATTTTTTATAGACCATTTCTGTTCAATTGTTTTAGTCTTTTTTAAGTTATTTGCTCGAAAATCGTTTTAATGAAGCTTTTGGAAACAGTTCAACGANGTCTTGTACGATCTTTACTTCTTGGTATGCCATTCGAGAAGCTGAAACCTGGTCCGAGACAACAATCAACCAGCCATTTGAAGCGCAAACTAGCTGATCACAAGCTCGAAGAAAAGAAAGGATCTGACCGCGATGTCCGAAGACGCTGTGTTGGTTGTTTACGAGAAAAACAGGGAACAACAATCAAGAGAAGCGTGTCATTCAACAACAAAGAGAAGAAAAACTTTCTGTTCTGATTGTAACAATTTTTTTTGTCTTGATTGTTTTAACGAGAAGCATTATGCTATGTAACAAATGATTTTGAAAATAGCGAAGGCGAAGCAGATCACAGATTATGCGTAACCTTCCGCCTAAGAATAAAAGAAAAGAAAGCGTTTTTCTATTAAGTTTCTTGTTAAAATATAGTGGGGTCCACTGGTGGACCTCATCGGGCCCAATGGGTTAAATACTACAGAAATACTAGAGACATAGTCTTGGATGCTAAACCAATGCTACAGAAATAACCCGAAATGGCACAGCGCTACTGTAGACACCATATGAGATGCTGCAGGTATACCGCAGACATTCCCCGTGATGCTACGGACACGAACTCAGATGCTCCAGCAATACTGGAAGCACCACCTGACATTCTTTACCAACACGGCTGACATCTGCTGGCATGCAATGCCAAATTTGCAGACATCACCAGAGTTGCTAACTAGAGAGGTTTTAATGCTGCAATGCTGGAAAAAAGGGTATATGCCAATGAAGTAGCATGAGTATTAGCCTTCATGATTGAGCATTCCTGTTCAAACGCGACACACGCCTGTATCTCCCTATATAATTCTAAAGACTATCTCCTCCTAGACCCCCCAGTCCCAAACACAGAAAAAAGAGAGTCCATAGCTATACATAGATATGAATAATTTTAAGAATCTCCAAGACTCCCTAGTCCCTCCCCATTCCTTAAAAAAAGCTTTTCGTGCAATCTCTGCCGGATTAAATGTGAAATACGTTGTAGCTGTTGTTACTAATGACGCGAATATTGTTTTATTCTCTCTATATTGGGACTCAGTTTTTCATTATTTTTTGTTTATCCTCTAGAACTGCAATAAAGAAGTAGTTTATATATTCTCATGAGACATTAGTGATATATAATCACTGATAATGTCTCAAATATGCCTATCAAAGTTTGTGATGCTCTTTAGAGCCCGTCTATCACAGTCTGTGATGGAATTGAAGGTTTTCTGTCGTGGTCTGTGGGGTGGGGGCTTCTAAATTTCTGCCTCTATATATTTTAACACTCTTTTTAGATTGTGTTGCATAAAAGAGAGTCTATAGCTATATACATATGAATAAGTTCGGTAAGCTACAGCTTAACTCTCTGAAGAAAAAAGAATTTAGTGACATAAATATTGGCGTTGATAAATTTCATGATCTAGGAGAAGGTCTCTCTTTTCAAAAGTTTTCTCGGCCAGTCACCATAGGAATATGTATTATGAAGGCATTTGAAATGCATCATTGCGTTAGCAAGGATGGCATCAGCTCATGAGGCGTGAAATAATTTATCGGCGTTGTATATGGTAGGAGCCTGTCTGGCATTCATCTGTTTAGGAAAGAATTTTTTTCTCTAGACTCCCTAAACTCTGACTTTTGAATAATCAAAGCTTCTTTTTCTTTCAAAATTCGGTTTGAAAGCAAAAATCCCATAAACTCGTTCCTGGTCGCCGTAATGGAATAGGCATGGAGAAAGATGGCGGCAGTAGGAGATAGGCATCATTGTTGCGTATAACCAACGCAAGCGAAAAACTGTTCGAAAAGACTTTTCCTTGTTATATTTCATATTTTCCCTAGGGAAAATCCTTGACGTTTCCGTGCCAGATCCTTAAAGAATCTAGTCAGGATCCTCCAAGAACTCACTATCTTGTCCTGAGGAAACGACTAAATCCTGAAGAAAGCGTGTAGCCACGGAATTTCAAGATCCTAACAGGAGTTGAAACAGAATTCGATCAGAATCTTTGGTAGTTCACAACTATTTTTGAATCGAGAATCATTATGGAAGCAATACTTGATGCTGGATGTGAATGCGGGCTCATCTAATGTTGCCTAACAGTCTCAGATAGTGATTCATCCTCCTGTTGGATTCTTGTTGTGATCCCCCTCAGATTCAGCTGTAATTGATCGAATCCTTGTACCAGGTTTCTGATTAGATCCTGTCTGAACCTTGATAAATCTTGAGAGAATCGTCTCTATTGTTCTTGTAAGGATACTAAACAGGATCATAATTGAATCCTGAAGAGGATCCTGTACTCAACATTTAGAAAAAAACTCTGGGAAGGAACCTGAAGAAATCCCGGGCAGGATCCCGTGTCACCGTGAGAAATCCTGAAAACGAAAATTATCAGGAATTGAGGGAGGATTCTGGAGAAAACTTGGCAAGATCCTTGAGATTCAGGATCCTGACGGGTCTTTCCATAATTTCTCAAGGAATGAACAGGATCGAGACTAGGATATTGATGTTTATCCTGAAAAACAGGACAACTTTATTGATAAATAGTTCACTGTAGAAGTAAAAAAGTAAATAAAAAAGATGAGAAAGATATGAGAAGAATCTGAAACTATCTACCAATTCAATGGACATCGAGACAAAGAATATTACTCACTTTCGATTAATTAAAACCAGCATAATACCCATATTGAATTATGTTTTGAATGTGTATTCAGTAAAAACTACAAGTTAGTAGTTCAGTGATTCGATCATAAAATGTCACATGTCTAATATTTACTTGACTCTGCAGGGTTTTGAGTATATATAAGTTGAGACCATAGCTAAATGCTGCATAAATTTATTACTTACAATTTTGGAATCATCATAAAAAACAATGCAATGTATTTGACACTGAAGCAAGTATCATTTTTGAGGATTAGAAAAATAACGAAGACTCAGGCTTTGTTTGCTTTAAATAACCTTGAATAGAGAAAAATCCTATCAGTGCAGTGTTTTTTGAACTCCTATCGCGTTCATCTAATGACTTCGTTCGTAAACCAACTTGAATGCTGATAGCATATCATACTTTACTGTTTGTAATGCAGCAATTCGTTACTTGCTATCGTATATTGCTCCATTGATATTTCACTATAAATTGTGTTATACATGCAATACTCCAACGGCTTGTTAATATGATAAAAAGAAAATTAGTGAAGCATGAATATATGAGCAAACAATAGTCAAAAGCCTTCATATTCTCCTCTTCCAACGCATGCATCACAGTTGAGTCATATCCGAACGTAAAATTTATCTTTTTTATCATAAATGAGTCAGCCCATTTATGTGACGACGGCTTTATTCAATCGAGCTTGTCAGATCTTATTCAATTTCAGCTATACTATAGATGCAACAGTTTTAACAATTTAACCCACACTGTTTTTCAAATGTATTGAATTCTAAAATTTGAATCAATATTGTTTTCATGAGCTTTAATTTTGATTAGCGTGTTTATCGAACAATGAATTGTGAATATTAATTTTAAATGAATGATCAGTATTTTAGTCTTTGATAAGATAAGATATTCATTTTTAATAATTTCTTTGTTGTCTTGTGTCTTTTTATTGAATGGCAAGTGAATAGATATATGTGTTGGAGAATATTGAATTGTCGATTCTTTTAAAAATATTCACTTTTGATTGGTTTTGTCAAGATCGCCATCTATCATAGATAGACGACCCTTCTCTTTCTCTCTCGTATACAGATATATAAATGTATATCTATAAGAAAGATATGATTCAGACTATTGTTTTCTGTTTTGTTGTATTAGAGTATAACTTCTAACAGATTATTGACTTTAAAAAAAGATTCAGAATAAAAGGACCTTAACAATGGTACACTAGCCGGTGTTTTTCTTATAAACAAATATCTGTGTGGCAGGCAAAACAAACAAATATCTTCATGAGCATAAAATCAACTCGCTCCACGAACGATCTTAAACAAACATAGATTAATTCTTTATTGTAACCATAAAAAAACAACAAACAACATTTATTAATGATGAGAAATATTGAATGCGTTCACCTCGATTCTATCCAAACAACAACTGATTTAAATAAAAATGATACTAATTTAATATAATTATCAAAATACACGCTTGGTCATGATTCAAATGATCAGCGATTACTTCAAAATTAACAGAAACAGCACCCTTCAACTCAATTGCCATTAGGTTCAATACAAAAGTTTGATGGACACGGTGATGCCGAACATGGGCTCCAGAATATTGTAGAAATTTTCGATTTATTACAAACTACAACACCAGAACGAAATGAATTAGTTCTTGATATATTAACTGGTGCAGCACTTATTTGGTATGTCAAACAACAAGATCATATGTCAACGTTTATTACACTAATGAGAAATTTTTCTCAATATTATAGTCAACAAGAATTAAAAACAGAATCATCAACAGCATTCATTTTGTCAAATATACCATTGAAACAAACACAAAGTAGTGATGGCAAAGAAACTGTTATTTATTGTTTACGAAATCAAATGTTAATTAATAATCTTGAAAAGTTACCAAAATATTCTGGAAAATCAAAACAAAATGTATCTAAATGGTTACGAGAAACTGAGTAGACACCCAGGCCAATCATGCTCTGTCGTACACGGCCGTATACCAACCAATTACTGCGAATAACGGCAGCTGTTTATATCAGCCATATACAGCAATCGTAAACTATGCTTTACGACGAATTACGGCCATGGTAAACGATGACCCTAAAAAGTCGCCGTTAACGACCAGTGTATCAATGTGATGGCTGCATACGCTTGCTGGATAATATCGCACGATATCATATGCGTCAACTGGAAATGACTGAAGAAAGTATCACCGCTCTCTATCATACTTCGTCGTAAACAACCGTTTACGTTGACGAATAGTTCTTATTGAATATAAGCAGGGTGTGGATGTGGGTGTGGGTGTGGGGTGTGGGTGTGGATGTGGGTGTGGATGTGGGTGTGGGGTGTGGGTGTGGATGTAGTGATGTGTTGGCGTAGCGTGTGAGTGTGGGTGCTGGTGTACTCTGAAAAAAAAACATAAAGTACCATACGGAACGAAAAATGTTTTCGTCTCTGCTACAAAAATTGAAAAAAGTTTCGAACTTTCTAACAAAATTGGAACGTTTTTCAGGATTCGTAGGTTTTCTACAAAACCTTTGAAAAAGTTTCCTGGGCTCTTGATAATCCTTTTCGGACTATGTCGGGTTTTTACAGAACCTTTTTGATGGTTTTGAATTCGTTCCAAAAACGGTTTCGCATGGTATCAATTTTTTTCGGTGCATGGTGCGGATGTGAGTGTGGATCGGTGTGATTCTCCTCTTAATCTACAGCCACGCTCCACCTCTACCCAGAGTTGTCCTTCCTTGCTGCATAATCTACAACACTACAGCGATAAAAAAAAGTAGGTCAAACTTTTTCAAGGGTATGAGTGAATAGCATAATGAGAAAAAAAGCAACAGACTATGCCGACTAACAATCATTAAAAAAAGACATTTATCCAACCACAAGAATCTAAACTAAGTGCCAACAAACCTTTTCAAATAAAAAGTTCTATCAACACACGACCAGATTATTTCCATTGAGATACTGTCTACGCATTAACTTATATGTATTTGTATATCAACGTTTCATTAATTTATTTTACACCAGCCTCAGTTAGAGAGATTTCAGGCGAAAACCTTTGAGAACGCTGCGAGGCATTTATTATAATACATTTGAGACGTAATTGAAGTTAGCATCCAATTCGAGTAACTCCAGCACAAATCCGCCCAGGAAGTTTTCCAGGCTTTTCCAGCTGTTTTCCAACTAGAACCCAATGAGCTCTATCCAACGGTGAGATCAGCTTCTCCATAACTCAAACTATGATCCCAAAAGTCCCAAAACACTGTTTATTTCTATGGAAAGCCCAACACCCAATTCACTTATTTTCAGTACCGATTCGTTCAATGGCCTGTTCGAAGCGTCCCAATGATTGCTTCAAATACGCCTGAACGAGCTCTCTTAAATGGTATGACGAAATTATCGGTAGTTTAGAATAAAATTTTTCGCATTCTAGTTTGTGCTACAAAAATTTGGACATACCATCTGATAGAGCTCGTTGAGTTGCACTTGGAACAGTCATTGGAACGCTTGGAACAGGGCATTGAACGAATTGGTACTGAAAATACGCGAATCGGGTGCTAGACTTTCAATAGAGAAAAACAGTATTTTGAGACTTTTCGGAACACCGTTTGAGTTATGGAAAAACTTATTACATCGTTGGATAGAGCTCATCGAGTTCTAGTTGGAACACAGTGGGAACAACCTCCAACACTTCCTGGGCGAATTATTGCTGGAATTATTCGAATGGGATGTCAACGACACTTACGTATACTGGAGACACCATTCACAGAAAAAGTCCTCCAAATCATTGATGCACTTAAATTAGAACACATGTTACTCCCCAAGTAAGCTTTAGATAATCATGAACACAGCACTATTCGCCTTCTATGTAGCTGATCTTACTTTGCACAGCTAAATTTTTAAACACTCAGAAACACATATTCCAGAAAACACAGGCTCCTTTAGACTCTCAAACAAATCTATGAGTCTCTCGGCGAAGTGACAAACGGATAATTACCATATCTACGGCATCCATATATATGTTTCCATGACATACAACAGTTCATTCCAGTCAGAACACAAGCACAAGTAACATGGCTTAACAAAATTTGTTAGCATTAATAATCAAACTATAATCGGATTTTTTCAGTCTTTCTTAGACATCGGTCCACACTATATACACTACTGGCCATAAGTCCCTGGATGTGCGATACTCCATCATAACTGCAATAATTTTCCACGAAATTTTTACCAGAGATAGAGCTTAAAAAACTGTGATCGCAAGCATCAACCCGAGCTCTATCGACTGATATAGTATGAAGTTATGATTCAAACATTAGTTTCACCTCTGTTTACTTATTAATCAACATTTACAGTTTTTATGAAAAACATTCGAGCTACTAGAGGTCTTGTTTAATCTTTAGATTGTTTCGTAAGTTGTTACAGGAATACGCAGTGGGCATTTATTGCTCAATAAAGGCATCTCTGGAGAATAGTAGACTAATATTAACGTACTAAGAAACAACTTCGAGATTAAACAAGTCTTCTAGCATCGCGATTGTTTTTCCATAAAAACTGTGAATATTGATTTACAAGTAAACAGACGTGAAACTAATGTTTGAATCATAACTCCATACTATATCAGTCGATAGAGCTCGGGTTGGTGCTTGCGATCACAGTTTTTTAAGCTCTATCTCTGGTAAAAATTTCGTGGAAAATTATTGAAGTTATGAGGAAGTATCACACATCCAGGGACTTATGGCCAGTAGTGTATATACTTGAAAACAAAATTCTAATCCGTCTTTAAGAAGAAATCGTCTCACTTATTTTCAAATAATATTATCATGTCGTTCGCTCTTAGAAATAGAATACTTAATAGTAATATGTTGCTAAAAACAATAAAAACTCGTATGAAAATATTAAACGATACACTTGTATTCTGGTACATTTTCTATTGAAACTCATTTAATATTGAAACTGTTACTATTATCGTATGTCTTTCCGTCTCTTTTCATTGAGTTCTATTCATATTGCGAAGATGATTAAGACTACAGTAGTTTTTCAAAGGAAATGTAACGTGCATGCATCAGATCAGACATTATAAAACATTTGTATGAGTGAAAACCTGTTCAGAATGCAAAAGCTTTAACGCTTTATTTGATATTTGTTTTTATATTTTAGATATATTATTAGTAGCTTTAAAAAGAACAATTTAGAGACTTTTCATATAATATGTATAGGAACAAAATTAAACCTTTTCAAATTGAGAGATAATATGAATTTGCTATTTTCATCGAAATTTTTAATGAAAATATGTTTCTACGACAGCATAGTTTACAACAGTTGAGGTTTCATGGTTGATTATAGAGAGCAAAAAAATAGCATGAAAAAATCTAATTTAATCTAGATCTTTTCTCATTTAGTTTTCCTTCCGATTTTTATGCATTAACGAGAAAAAAATCAGAATTTCAAATTAACATCATCAAACAAATAACTAAATGATTAATGATATCATATTAATCGATAAGACTGAATTCATTGACATTTGGTAGAACGAATAAAGAAACCTTTTCTCGTTAATAAACTGTCTATATGTTGACAAATGCAAATGTACTAGTTTATCTCTATACAAAATTTGTCAAAAATAAAAGAAACTTACATATCAAAGCAACTTGTTTAACAGAAACAACTAATTTTATTTAGAAAAACATCACTCGTTACGAAATAATGCTATGTGTGTAAGGCATCTATTGTTAAAAACTAAATATATGAGAATATTTCGCTGAAGCACGAACGATAAGATGACATAGATGATGAAAAAAACAAGAGAAAAAAAAACGTTCTTGAATCAGGTTTTTTTTATCATTTTTCATCTTATTAAATTTTCTACTTCACAAAAAAAAAAGAAAAAAGAAAAGAACCATTGATGACTAGGTCTCCTTTTTCTCTTATGAGTATCGTATAAAATAGAGCAGCTGCTCCCAACTCTCATAATGTACGTATGTAACCTTGAGGTTGGTTCTCTCTAAATAATCATCGTTGAATTATTCGTCAAGGTTTGATGCTGCCTTGCGTTCCGTCCTTCTTAGACGAGACAATCATCTCTTTATTTTATCTATTCCGAATATATATATCGAACAAGGCTTCTCTTTCTTTCATTCAACAAATTCTCATAATGATACTTCTTTATCAGAAAAAGATTTCATTTAGTTTTAATTGAATCTCTCGGGAAATTTTTCAAAATATTAGAATACTAATAAATAATGATCTATTTTGATTTATCTTATGTAAGAAAAAAAGAGACGCAATGAATCGAAATCATAGTCTCATTTTTTTCCGGTACGAAGATAGACAAGTTAGTTGTTCTCTTAGAATATTACTCTTTAGTATTCGCCAATTACAATGTCTTGGCTAGCATAATCAAGTTTCTGCCTATCTTTCTTTTCTCTTGTTTTTCATTCTATACTTTGACATCTTCTCAACTTGTATGCTTTTCTACTTGTCTGTTCGCCTGAAAGTGCGTGTATCGTCATTTCTTTTTCTTTTCTTCTGTTATTTTTCTAGTCAATATTGATGGCAATGATATTCTCTGCGGCATCGCCATCACCACTCTTATCTTGTAGTGCTGCCTGCTCGATGATGGTAGTCGTGGAGAATGCTGCACGCCGTCGAGCACTAGCAGGCTAATCACATTAATGAAGAAGAAATTCTATCATCATGTTGCTGCCCGCCCGTCCGTCCGTCATCGTCGTTTACTGACAAGAAAAAAGGAGAAGAGAAAAAAAGGCAGAACAACGGCATCAACGAAGCGTCCGCAGGAGAGAAGATAGCTCGTCGGCAGCTGTTACTCGACCGACGACGAGTGTGAACTGCTATCTACTGTATTACATGAGAAGAAAAAGAAAAAGAAGAAGGAGAATAGGAAAAAAACTGCGACAAGCAAACGAGCGGACACGAGCAGTTCAGAGACAGCCGCTGCTTATTGGCGGAGTATCGAGAAAGAAAGAATTTTCCGTAAAAAAAGAAGTTTTAGCAGCATCGGAGAAACCTTTTCTCTTCTCTCTATCTATGTAGTGTGTGTGTAGAATAGAATAGGCGACGACCCACAACACAACAACAACAACAATATTGGTTCTACCATTACTACTAACATAGAGTGGCAATAGCAATTCCCTTTTCTCTCTCTCTCTCTCTCTCTCTCTCTTTCCATTCTCCTGTTGCAGAGTATCAACAATATATTAGTTAGTAAAAAATTGAGATTTTGTTTTTCAGAAAATATTCAATAAAACGACAACTAACGATGTTTTATCATTTAAAAATCAACGGGTATGAATATAAGAATTATTTATTTAGATTTGATTTATTTATTCTATCAAACATCTAGAATTGAACATCAGTTAATATAATCAAACATAATCTTTTATACAAACACGCATACATCTATCTATTCTATATACATCATTTCATCAGGTAACTTATTTTTTTATTCTTTATGTTTCTTTAATATAGAACAAGTGTCAGTCCTTAGACATAACTAACAAGTTGTACTTTTTTCTTTTACATATATATATATATCTTCTATCTATTTAATAATCATGCAAAAAAAGGATAGAATAGAAATAAAATATTCAGATGATTGATGATGGATCAAGTTCATTGCGAAAAATATCTCATTGAAGGAATTAATTTTTATTTTCTTTTGTTTCATCTTCGGAACATTTTTTTTATCAACTACATGACCTATCTTTTTTTTTCATTAGTTCTCTATTTTTTATTCTTAATAACTATGTGCTCATCTTTATTATTGGTCACAGATTGTTGATTTGATGAGTATTGCATGATTTTGTCCTTTTCTAGAATGATAATGACTGTGGGTTTTTGTTGTTTCCATGGTGGTGCTAGTCGTGTTTTTATAACAACGACAGTTCCATAAAAAAAATGAGTGCAGAATACATCCGACGGCAAGTAATGGCAGAGAACAGAAAAAAAAAGAAGCAAAGAAGAACTCGAACAAGCGAAATGAAGAGAGAGAAAAAGAATAGACGTTTGTGTGAGGAGAAGAAAACGGGAATGTTCTATTGAGTTGTCGCATAGCGGATGCATTTCAAGAAAATAAGCTAACTATGTGAGAACATTTACACACCGTATGACTATTTTTTTCTCGTATTGAAAATTGCACTATCAACACAAGAAATATATTAAATAAACCAATATGGTGAGTAGAGAAAGAAAAAACGGATCAGAATGTTTCTGTCCTTGCTCAAAATATCTGTCAACTAACATTTATATAAATATGCACACAGCGCACGCACATACGGTTCTCTGATTTTTTTTTCTTTTTCCATCACCGTCACTTACTAGCACTGATCGTACTGAAATTAGTAAAAAACAAAAACAACAAAAGAATGTAGAAAGTATAATTCTTCGACTAATAATTTCATAGAGAATAAGAAAAGACTACATAAAAACAAAGGATTCGACAGTCAATTTAGTTCTCATTACAATACGAAAACCACAAAAACTGAAAAGAGTTGACAAAAGAACTTTTCTTTTTCATGTTTAGTTAAGCAGGATTTTAGCGCACTATATTCATATCACTAATCATCAAAGCCAATAGGATGATATAGAAAAATCGAATACGTACGTGTAAAGCATCTAAGAACATTTTTTTACGTTAATAGTATCAATCACGTGGATAAAATTCTTTTGGTTCTCTTAATAGATTCTAATAAAAAATAGAAAAAATATAAACTTATTATTAGTCATTCATTTCTCTCTCTTTTTTTGACTCTGATTCACTATTTCTTTATCCGAAAATTTGCTCCGGAAACAAAGCTTGTTCGAGCTCCGAAGCCGGTAATTACTATCCGGATCCGCTTTTTTTTCCAATTCCGTTCAGTGAGATGGTGTGCATCGAGCAAAAGAAGGTCATCTATTACAAAAGAATATTGCTTTGCATACAATTTATTTATCTTTATAAGTTTAGTATATTATATTTATGTTTTAGTTACGTAAAAAGTTACTTCCATCAGCAATGGGTCTTTGCGCATCTGGTATGAGTTCCGAAGAGCGAGAAGCTATGGAACGTAGCAAAGCATTGGATAAACAATTAAAAGAAGATGCTGAACGAGCAGCAAAAGATGTCAAGTTACTTTTACTCGGTATATAATATTTCATTTTTTTTTCAAATCAAAAGAATTTATTTCATTTTAAAAAAAATTAATAAACTAGGTGCTGGTGAATCTGGTAAATCAACAATATTAAAACAAATGAAAATTATTCATATGGATGGATACTCTAAAGAAGATTTTGAACAGTATCGTGAAGTTGTTTATTCAAATACAATTCAATCATTAGCAACAATTATTCGAGCTATGGAAACGCTCAATATTCAATTTGGTTCAGGCGATCGTGAACGAGATGCTGCTATGGGTAAAATTTCATTTATTATTCATATAAAAAAAAAGAATTATTTTTTTGTTTTTGTTTTATCATTAATAGTATTAGACAAAATTTCTCGTATGGCCGATACAGAACCATTTGAAAGTGAATTACTTGATGCAATGAAAAAATTATGGAATGATAATGGTGTTCAACAATGTTTTAATCGTTCAAATGAATATCAATTGAATGATTCAGCGAAATATTTTCTTGATAAATTAGATGAAATCGGTTCACCACAATATTTACCAAGTACACAAGATATTTTACGTACTCGAGTTAAAACTACTGGAATTGTTGAAATTAATTTTACATTTAAAGGTTTGTTTTAAACTTAATTTTAAACGATTAAACATCATTTTTATGTACATATATAAATATATATATAAATTTTCGTTTAGATCTTAATTTTCGTGTATTTGATGTTGGTGGTCAACGATCTGAACGAAAAAAATGGATTCATTGTTTTGAAGATGTTACTGCAATCATCTTTATTGTTGCCTTGAGTGAATACGATCAAGTAAGTTGAATTTATTTTTAAAATAAATTTTAATTTTACGTTAACGAAAAAAAAAAGGTTCTTGTGGAAGATGAAACAACAAATCGTATGCATGAATCACTTCGTTTATTTGATTCAATTTGTAATAATAAATGGTTTGTTAATACATCAATTATTCTCTTTTTAAATAAAAAAGATTTATTTGCTGAAAAAATTACGCGTTCAAGTTTGAGGTTTGTTTCTTTTTAGGTTTTGTTAAAAATTTATAAAATTTCTATTTAATAGAAAATGTTTTCCTGAATATCAAGGTAAAGATGAATACACGGAAGCAAGCGAATATATTCAAGCTCAATTTGTGGCACAAAATAAGAGCGAGCAAAAAGTTTGTTAAAAAAAAAACAAATTTGTTTTCTAAGATAAAAAAATGTTTGTTTTTAGGAAATTTATTGTCATTTAACTTGTGCCACAGATACTCAAAATGTTCAATTTGTCTTGTAAGATAAATGAAGAGATGTGTGAAATGAAGATTATTTAGAATTTCTTCTTGTTTTCTTTTTTTAGTGATGCTGTTACTGATGTCATCATAACGAACAATCTCCGTGCCAGTGGTCTTTATTAGACAAATCATGACAATATTAATACAGACATGTATTTGTTTCTCTAAAAAAATACTTTCTTGCGTACATGCAGATACAAAGTATCGCCGCCGCTCAGCTTTTTGTCTCTTTTTATTTTCTCTCTTTTATTTGTCACTTTCGACAAGCGCCGGTCGATGTCTCTTTATGCGTATATGATTTTCGTCATCTTTTTTCTTCATATTTTGATCTATCTAGAGTGTGACTAGTCAAGTGTTTGATTGAAGACGGCTTTTTCTCCATAGCTGTCGTGCATGTTGTGTATCTTCTATTCCCTCATCTGGCTGCTTGTCGTCAATGTTGTTGCTGTTGTCAATTTGACGTATCTAACTTTTGCGCGTTTCTTTTCTTCTTTGTAAATGTGTGTGTGCTTCTATCTTTTTCCTCTCGCAATCATTTGACTATTTTTTATTGTGTTCTTCTCTATTTTGAATGTCTGTTTTTCTTTTCTCTTTCTTAAATTAATATCGAGAGCCAGACCTCAGAGAGTACGATGACGACGACGACGACGACGACGACGACGATTACTACTAATTTTATGCTTGTTTATTTCCTTCTCATCATGTTTTGTGTGAAAGACCAAAAAAAAGAAGAATTTTAAAAAAGGAATATTTGTTTTTAATATTGATATTTTCTTGACGACGATTAGATGGAACAGGAAGCGTAGGAAGCAAAAGAAGCGATTAATAATGAATGAGGGATTTTTAATATTTCCTCGCTGCTGTGTAATAACTACAAGTTCGATGGATCAATAGCAGATTAGTAACATTTTGTCAAGAGAAAAATGAGAAATACATTCTATGTGAAATGCATCAAAAATAATTTGCATATTTTCTTCAGTAATTATTCTTTTTAAGACTTTTTAGAAATACCAAGTAGCTTAATATCTTTTTCTTAATTGTAAAATGATCGTAAATATTTATTATTCCAATATACGTAGACATGATTTATATTAATTCAAATAAAATAATTATTAATTCGATTCTTTGGTAATTCATATTAATACGTCATATGACTAAACACGAAAGACTTCACAAGCATCATTGATTAATAACATGACTTACAAGAAACAAACAATGCATCAAATAACTTAATGAAAATAAACGATCGGTCTTCTAAAATATTTTTATTTTATTTGCTTAATTATTTTCTTTTTAACATTTAGATAGCAATGTACTTAGGACGACCTTTCCGGATATGCAAGAGAGTAACTTCCCGACAATATGTCTAAGAAAAGAATGAATTCGTAATGAAAAATAAGATTATTTCTAGTGAAAACCCGACGAGAAACAATGTATAAGTTTAAAAGATGAAGAATTTATTTATGCTTAATATTTTATTATGAATATTTGGATTTTTTTGTTCTTTCTACGAAAAACAATTTTCAAACTGTTTCAAGAATAAAAACACAAGTCACTGAATGACTTAGAGAGAAAAAAGAAAGAATAAAATGTAGAATAATTGAAGAGAAGAGATTAATTGAAAGATAAAAATGAAATACAAAAAACTATAATTAAATATGTTAGTTTGACTCAAACTTGAACTTCAGAAGATTTCAAAAACAAAAAAAAATTATGAAAAGATAAAAAGTGAAAATTTTGCAGAAAGCAGATCGAATCAGAAACAACAAGAATAGGAGACAAGATTTAGATACTATGAACTATTTCTACTTATCATTTCTTTTTGTTCATTTTTTCAAACACATTTACTATTTATCATACAAATAACACAATAATAACAATCAGCAATGCACATGTCGGAAATTTCTGTACATCGTCAGAACCTGTGGTAGATATGACAAGACAGTATTTAGGTTTGCTAAAATTAGACG